ACACCGGCAAGGCAACCCTACCAAGGGGCAGCCGCGCAAGTGGCACCGCTGCCCTCGCCCGCGGCCCTGAGCTGCTGGCCCGAGCCCCCGCCCCAGGACCCAGCCCAATAAAGAGCGAATAGCACCCCTGAGCCTGCTACCTCAGTCCGAGGCGTCGGGCGCCAAAACCGGGTGGGGGCAAAGCGGAGATCCTGAGCGAACAGGGACGCACAGGCTGTTGAGGACAGAGGCACTGCACAGCCTTCTCCTTCCTATCATCCGAGGGTCAGAACCAGAACCCCTCCGAGCTGGGGAGGGTCATCCTGCTGCACTGGTGGGAGGCTCTGCCCCTCACTCCAACTCTGCAGACTCGGGTCGGTCCCCACCAGGGCTGCAGGCTCTGCGGAGGTGGGCTGGGGCAAACCCAGACTTGGCCACGCTAGGAGGAGGGACCCGTCTCCCGCAAAGGCTCAACATCTCCAAAAGTCCCCCAGCATTCAGAAAGCCCTCTTAGGCAGGGGGGGGGCGGGGGGGGGGGGGGTGGATTGGTGTCCAGGAAGAACAGCAAGGATCCCCAGGTCAGCTGGGGTGAGGCCTGACACAGACTATGTGACCACCAAAGTGGAGAGGCTGGTCCCTGAGCCTCTGGCCCATGGTGCTTTGCTACCCTCAGCAGCCAGCTCCCACAGACTTCCTCCCATCCCATTACGCACCCTGTCTCCAAAAGCTGCTCCCAAGCCACTTAGCTGTCCAGGGCAGTGTTCTCCCAGCTCATTAGCACTCAGAGGCCTCCACTGCCCACAGGGTGGACCCCACAACTATCATTGGGATGTGCAGGCCCAGCCCCCAGCATTTCAGTACTGCCACCCTCACTCCTTCTCTGGCCATATTCCCAGTACAGTCTCCAATGTGAGGCTCATTCCCCAAACCACTCACGAGAGGCCCAGGCCAAATCCTAACGGCACCCCAGCCCTGCAGAGCCTGCAGTCTTCTTTCCTGCCACACCCTGATCACCAACTTAGAATGCCATTTCTGGGCAGATACAGCAGGGAAGAAAGCCTCAGCTCACTAGAGTCACAGGTCCGGCTTCTGCTAAAGATGGATGGATCACTGCAGCATCCCCACCACGGGAAGCGTACTCCCTGCTCATTGTGGGAACGCATGGGTACCGCATCCTCCTGCTCATTGTGGGAACTGACTCTTCCCTGCCAGCCTAGTGGTCACAGCTTAGCCATGTTCCTCCCTGGGGCCACACTTCCTGCCCATACATGATTAGTCTGGGTTGGTTCTACTCCCTTCCCTGGGACTGAAATTCAGGAGCTCAAGGAGACCACGTTTGTTCCATGAACATGCACAAGCTGAACAGACAAAAGCACAGTGTGAAACAGCAGCATCCGGGGTTCCCCCACAGCCCTGTGGCACCCTGTTCCTGAAACCTGATTTCACCCTTGGTATCCATAAAGCAATATCCTTGTGGGACCAGCAGATGGCGTAATGGTTACATCGCTGGACTTCCACATAGTTGACCACAGTTTGAATCTTGGACCCAGAGACTTGCAACTCACACCAGGTGCGTGCACATGCATGCCCAAAATCCCAAGAGGAAGATGGAGAAGGGATTGTGGCGTGGCCATTCCCCCTGGGGTAGGGGAAGGGTGGTGACGTCTCGCTTTCTGTCTATCTCTGTCTCTCCAGTGAATGCACACTCCCTACAGCAAAACTCTCTTCATAAATGTTTTTTTTTAAAAGATTCTTGTAATAAAGCCCTATTTTAGTGTAAGTTCACATGAGTCTTCTACTCACAACCAGAATGGTCCTAAAATGAACGAGGTTCTTGGACCAGCAGGTGGCATGGTGGTTAAGGAGCTGGACACTCCCACTGGCCAGCTGTGGTTTGAGTACTGAACCTGGTGGCTTGCTTTCTCATTTTCTCTAACTCTGTGTCTTATGCTGTTCAAATTAAAATAAATAATTCTTATAAAAAAAAAATGGTTCTGCAGACAGGCAGTGACCTCTCTCCTGTGTGTGAGGACTGTTACTGCCTTTCGAAGAAAGAAACTGAGCCCAGATAAAGATTAGGACTTGCTCAGGTGCCCAACAGGTCAGTCTCAGAACTGAGTCAAAAACTTTGAACGAGCAGATGGCATAATGGCTACGTTGCAGGACTCCACATAGTTGACTGCGGTTTCAAGTCCTGGACCTGGAGGCTTGAAACTCATGGTGGGCACGTGTGCATGCTTGCCCAAAATCCCAAGAGGAGAATGAAGGAGAAGGGCTTATGGCATGGACATCCTCGCTGGGGACTGATTTCTCGCTTTCTGTCTCTTTGTCTCTGTCTCTCCAGCAAGTGCATGTGTCCTATACGAAAAATGTTAACAAAAAACAAACAAAAAACTGAGTCACAAACTTGAGCCCACAAGAGCCGATTCTTGGATGCCCTTGAAGGAGGGACCCCTACATGGGCTGCCTGGGCGCCTCTCGGAGCACCCAGAGGTCCTCAGGGTGGCTGTAGATCTGTGGAGCAGGAGCTTTTCTGTGAGGGGACAAGTCACACATCTGGCTAGAGTACTTCAGATAATCCCACGTGGTTTGGGAAAGGAATCAGACGGTTGAGCTGGGCCGCTGAAACTAGACCCCCATGCCAAAATCACTGCCTTTGACCACTCCAGGAGAGGATGGGTCCAGGGAGTTTTCGTAGGGGGAAGGGCTGCCAAGGCACAGAGGCGCTGAGGTCTGAGGTCACAATGTGTCCAATCCGAGTTCTTTCTTCTCTGATCACTCCGGCCCACCTCCACAACCAGGAACTTCTTCCGCCAAGCCCAAGTGAAAGGTGGAGACTGCCTGGAATTCAAGGGCTGAGCTGGACTCCTGGGTCCCCGAAGAGAGACATATGGCCAGATGGCCTTGCCACAAGGCCTTCTTTCCCAGAGCTCTGCAGCTCCGGGAGGCTTCTCGATATCTAAAAGGATCTGGCCAAGCCCTGCCGTCGTCCACGCCCGCGAGCTGAGGAGGCGGAGCCGCCCCCCGCCATCCCGGCGAGTCCCGAGAGAGAGGGCCTGGTGAAGAGGGCCAGAGGGCGAAGAGGGCAAAGAGGGCCAGCGCACGGGCACAGACCGACAGGAACCTCAGGTCCAGGGGCGGAGCCACGAGCTGCAAAGCAGACAGCCACTCGGGCCTTACGGAGTGGGACCGGACCACCACAGTGTGGGCTCAAGGATCGAGAGGGACGGTCACCCAGGTCAGACGAGGAGGGACTTTGGCCAAGGAGGCAGAGCCAGGAGCCGAAAGGCGTGGCCACGGTCTAGGCTGGAGGCGGGGCCTCAGAGGCGCGGAGGGGGCGGGCCGGCGCCTCCAGCGGGCGGAGCCCTTCGGCGAAAGGCCGGGTCCTGTTCTGAAGGTGGCGTCGGTGTCCGGCAGCCGCCGGGGCTGCCGGGCCCTGGGCCGCGTTGCTGTGGTGGTGGACCAGGGCTCGGGTTTCACCAAGGCGGGCTTCGCGGGTGAGGACCAGCCGCGCATAGTGCTGAAGAGCTCCAGCCTGGTGCCCAGCTGGGACCGGCCTGTGCTGCCCGGCGCGCCCGGTTGCGAGCTGGCAGGCGGTGTGGCGCGGGCGCACCCTATCAAGCACGGCGTGGTGGTGGACTGGGAGGCGTTGGAGGGACTGTGGGAGCGTCTGCTGGTGGGCGGCCTGCAGGTGTGCCCAGAGCAGTGGCCCGTGCTGGTGAGCGACTCGCCGTCGGCGCCGCCCGCGGGCCGCGAGAAGGCGGCCGAGCTGCTGTTCGAAGCCCTGGCAGTGCCCGCCTGCCACATCGCCAGCACCGCGTTGCTGGCGCTCTGCTCTGCCGGCGCGTTCAGCGGGCTGGTGGTGGAGGCGGGCGCGGGGGGGTGCCCCGCCACGCCCATATATGCGGGGCCCTCGCGGCAACAAGCCACCTCTG